TCAATGAGAAACATTTAGTACTACTAACTTATATATATATATATATATATATAACACTTTAAGAGTTGGATTTATTTTCAAAAAAGTGTTATTTTATAAATTAAATAGATAACATTCAAATTTTAGATCATTATTAGAAAAAAATTTTGATGTACCAAATCAATACGGAGATATATAACACTTTAAAATGACCTAAAATTGAGTTAGTTTCAAAATGCATGTAGGTTAGCATAATAGTTTTAAAAAAAAAAATTGGGGCTGGGTTTTTATATGTATTACTTTTTTGTAAATAAGTAAAAGTATTCCTTATACTCTCATATCAATATAATTATTATTAAAAAAAAGCATAGTAGTTAAAAATAAAAAAAAAAGCTAATATTTTCTTATGTTATCTAGAGCATATTGATATAGCTGGTTTTTTCTTTTTCTTTTTTTTTTTTTAATGGAGATATAGCTAGTTTTAAACTATATTCACCTATGACCCACCATATATGATTTGAACTCAAAATCTCTCATTTTAAAATTAAATAAAGAAAATTATCACTTGGTGGAAAAAGATGCCTCACTATAAATGCCTATATTTAATAAATTTAACTTTGAATTGTTTTTTTGTCTAAAATTGAATGCAAGGTTAAATTTGTAAGTTTGTATTCTCTAATGTTTTAAATGATCAACTGGAACGATGTATATATAAAGATTGGTATTTATCATCTGGTTCTTTAAAAGTTAAAAAAAAAAAAAACACTTCAAAATTATACTATTTCAATAAAATACTATAAAAAAAGTTAAAAAATGCTCTTATTTTTACTTAAAAAATAAATTATTTTAATTTTTTTCAACGAAAATTTAGTAAAATAATATAATTTAAAAATATTTTTTTCTTAATTTTTTAAAGATAAAGTTGATAAACATTTTTTTTCATATATATTAGACTAAATAAATGGACATATGATGCAGCTAAACCAATTAGCGGTAGTAGGCCAGTTGTGTAAAAATCAATATATGGGGACAAGACAAGAGAGAAAAATGGCTAGCACGCATTGCTGTCCACAACTTGCGCGGTTGTGATGGAATAAACTAAGAAGTTAAAATCTTAGGTGAGAAAATGAAGAAAAGTTAATGGTGGGTGTGAATGTGAGGGGATATTTTTTCAATTGATGGACCCATTGACCTGGATGTGTGGGGAGAGATCCCTTAAAGTCTTGTTTGTTTGCTTTCAAATGTTTATATAATCATTATAAACCCTAATTCAACATGCCTTCTTATTCCTTTTCATTCTTCGAAATATTCCCTTCTAATCCCTCTACCCTCTTTGTCTAATAACATTTCCTTCCCCATTGACCATAACCTGAATCAATGCCTGTCCTAACTCTAATCTCAGATTTCCCTTCTTACAATCGAAATTATTCAACTATATTGGACCACGACAACTAGGACGATTTATAAGGGATGATGGGAACCAAAAGGCCCTCACTTGTCTTGTCCAATTAATTCATATGCCCAATTATTGTACTAATTTTCACCCACTTTAAATATTTTATTAAAGGCAACTATAAAGGTGAGACTCACAAACTTTCATTCAATTCGCAATTCAGATTACCAACTTTAATTGTTTTCAATTAAGGTCACTAACCACATGTGATTCTTAAACAAGGACAAATTAGATTCAAAATTTGGTCAATTTTAATTATTTTGAAATAAAGTCACTAACATCTATTCCTGTATCAAAAAGAAGAAGAAGAAGAAGAAAAAAAAAAAAACTAACATGTATTATGCAATAAAAGAGGGAACAAAACCTAGCCGCCGCTCCCTTCCTTCCTCTTGTTCCCATTTTTCCTTTCTTTTTTTCTCTTAATTCTTTGTTTCTCTTCTTTTTTAATGATTTTGTTTTAGTTTTTTTAGGTGTTTTTTGAAGGGTTCTTGCCTCCCTTTAAGGCTAGCTTATATTGGAATTCATCTCTCCAAACATATTTCGTGTGAATTTTATCATTATTTTATATCATTCTTAATGAAGGATCGAAGCAAAAGAGGTAGTTGGCGTGCACTATGTTGTTTTGGAATTCTTTTAGTAGTAGCTTATCTCAACAATTACCTTTTTATTGTTTTGGTTATGATGAATTATTCTTACGATCTAGATTAAATTAAAATAGTTATATAACCATTAAATAGCTTTATTAATTATCATGTATGCTTAACCACTTTGTTTTACACTTTTAGAGTTAGGAATTATGGTGCCTCTGGTAATCTATAGCAATGAATTAGCTTGTAACTCTTATGATTTTTTATTATTAATAAATTAGTTTATTTATTTTTTTATATAAGGTCACTAATTCCAATCTCAATAGTCCCTTTCACAAAAGTTGGGGTTTTTGTTAGGGGGTTGTCTGATGCTATTGGTGGAATGTCCCTGGTTGATAGGGTTATTGCCCCTGATGTCAAGGTTCCCCTCTCATTGTGTTCGATTGTGTTATAGTGCAGGCCATTTCTCCTCTCATCTTCTTCTATTCCTTCATGGATATGATATATTGTGTGGAGGTGTTTTTAGGACTAGATGCTGAGACGATTATATGCCTATCTCTGAAGACGTGCACAAAAAATCCTATTTCTTGCATAAGACCTATTGATCAAGTACCTACTCCCACACACACTACTCCTTGTAGACCCTACGAAGAGATGATGGTGGTCCTCCACTTTAGAGCCATAAACCCCACAATATTGACCCACCTCCATCCATCTCTTAGACAGAGTACTATACTCACAGGCATACCCTAGATAAAGTTTTTGAATTCCCCTTTAAAGGCATGTCCAAATGCCATAATCTGCTCCATATATAAATAGGACATTGATATATACACTCTCCAAAAGTTACACACTCTCCAAAAGTTACACACTCTATTACACACTCCCTTACACATCAACGATTTTCGTTAGTGTGCTGTTAAAATTGATGAAAACTATTAGTTTTAACGGTAGAAATAATGAAAACTATTAGTGTTAACGGCACAAATAATGAAAATCGTTAATTTTAACGGCACACTAACAGAAATTGTCAGTGTGTAACAGGGTGTGTAACTTTGGAGGATATACGTATCATTTCCCATATAAATAACTCTATCAAAATGTTGTAATACCAAAGATCCTCCTCATGAAAAATCAACCTCTAGGCATCCTTATCTCGATGTGGGATTTTTTTGCCTAATACAACTCCTCACATGCAATCACAATATAATTTTGGGTATCATGCACAGAGGCTGACAAAAAGCATAATAGAAAATGAAGTTTGGACTGGATATGATACCCTCTATATAAGGATCGAATCTTAAATTAATTTACATGAATGAAGCAACTCATATATACCAATATTTTTAGTAAGTAATTAATCTTTAGTCTTAAGGTCAACATATCAATGTTTAGCCAAAAGTGATCAGACAATTCGAAGACGAAAGGTCATGTTTATATATTTAGGCACTCCCTTACCGTCTTTGTTGTCTTTCACTTCCCACCCTATAAAAATCCCA